TGTGAGTATGAGACCAGCCTGGGCTACAAAGTGAGCTCAAGGTCAGCCTAAACTGCATAGCGAGAACCTATCTCAAAAATACAAAAAAATAAAGATAAAAAGAGGATGGGTGCATATTGCAAGGACAGAGGAGGCAACCTGAAAGAGCTTCCAAAGGCCAAAAGATGGAACAATCTGGGCAAGAAAATAAATGACAGTATAGGATTCCAAAGGATAAAATAAATACTACTCAAGAACGCAAACTAGTGCAAATAAATTACTAAACAAAGAAACTGAGCAAAAGAACAATTAGGGAAGAAAGCATAACTTTCTTCCAGGAGAATCCCCATTAAAAGCTATATAAGAAATGAAAGAAATAGAGACATTTAGAATCCTACAATAGTAACAGCTATAGGCAAGGTCTACTAATGGATGCTATAAAAGTGAACCTTAATATTTTTTTAAAAGAGAAATAGTATATTTGCATACAGTCACAAAATATTCCCCCAAATTTCAACATATTTGATTACTGTGATTGTTTTAACATATGTTCACAAATTCTTTTTATAATCACCGCCCCCCAGGGTGATGTTAATTCTCTTCCCCCGAGAATAGACTGAACTTGAAGAACTGCTTCCAACCAACAGAATATGGAAAGAAAAAACCAGTAGCTTTCGTCACTGGCCCACACTGTGTTAGCCAAATCATCAAGATTAGTAAGACATATTCACACCAGTCCCCTCCCCATATGATACAATGAGAAAGGCACTAACACCTTTGATATAATTTCTTAGTAATTCATACCTTCAGTGTAAGGATGAGAAAACATTAGGTGAATCCAAAATAAGGAACATTCTATAAAATACCAAATCCAGTACTTGTTAAGTGTCAAGATAATAAAAGATAAAAGAAACACATTGCAGAGGCCTAAGGAGCCATGACAAATAAATGCAATGTGCTATTCTAGATTTAACCCAGCACAGAAAAAGCAAATCTGTTGTTTAATTAATAGTACTGTAATGATGCTAATTTCACAGTTTTTGAAAGTTACTGTGGTTATATAACAATTTAGCATTAAGGGAAGCTTGGTAAAGGGCATATGAGAACTATACAGTCTTTGTAAACTTTTCTGTTAAGAGTAAATTTATTTCAAAATGAAAGCAATAAATATGCCTGTAGGGGAGAAAATAAAGTCACCTATAAACACCCAAGAGAATAAAACAGATTTGTCATTGGTAAAATAAATGCAGGAAGACAAAAAAGCAATGCAATTAAAATAATTTGCAATCTAGAATCAGCCAATCAAATTAAGTCAAAAAATTAAAGAAGTTTTGAGATGAATTTCTTTTCTTTTTTTTTTTTTTTTTCCTTAATGAAAATGGACAAGAAAAGCCTCCAGATTGTAGTTGTAAGAATCAGAGCATGGCCAAACAGAAACACGGACAGCTCTGGCATAAGGAGAACTTGCATGGAGTTTATACTAATCTTGAAACTGTGAACTACCGGAGGTGATAAAGTTAGATGATACTAGGAAAAAATAAAATAAATTAGAAACTCCCACAAAAAACTAAAAACCATGTAAGAAAGGAAATGTAATGATAGTACCTACATAGCTATATGCAATTATTTACTAATTTTCAATTTTAGTATTAACTAAGCTATAAAACAGATTAGTGCTTACTGAAGATAATAAGCATTTTAACTTCAAGAGAAAGGGAAAGGAAACGTGTCACAGAAGAGGAAAAAACGATGAAACTTTATTATTATTATTATTGTTATTATGATGATGATGTAGTGAATCAGGAAGTAATATTTGGCCTGAAGTTTTATAAAGCAATCAGTGTCTTTGAATTGCACAATAGAAGGTAAATTTTCAACTCTTGATGCAAGAAGTCATAGTGACTAATACTGACCTATCAAGGAGGAGTAATAGACTCCTAACAGTAATAGTAATATTATTTAGCTATATGGCATCATCACAGGAAAAACAAAAGTACAAAATAGTTCAATGGTTAACACTGATTTTCTCTGGGCAAAAAAACAGGGGTAACAAAGAAGGTCTCTTACACTGTAAGCTCTCCTGTAAGATCTGATTTCTAAATGCTATGTACATCACTCTGAAAACCTAAATTTTTTTCCCAAAAAGTAACCATTATTTTTAGCAGTGAATGAAGCTAACTCATTTATTCACATTAAGTCAGTGTGTTTCTACTGACAGTAATGGTTAGGACACTTAGTATAAATAGTTCTTGCCATGAATGGCCAAGACTATCAATTTAATATACCCTATGGTAATGAATACTTTTTCCAAGTTTTTTAATACCATTTTAAACAAATTTAATGAACACTAAAAAGTAACTATGCTGAATTCCTTGAAAATAGCATTTAAAAATATGCTGATATTAAGCTTAATATTTCTCAGTGCTGACATGTTTTGTTTGGGGGCAGTGCTGGGGACAGAAGTCAGAACTTGGTGCATGCTAAAAAGCAAGTGCTCTACCACTGAGCTACATCCCGAGATCCTAACATATTTAAACAATTTTGTGCAGGAAGCATTCAAGATGTTTGTACCAATGAACAAATTTAAGTATACTTTCTGAATTATCAAGCCATTACACGATAATGGTTATTAAAAAGAAGACAGTCATTAAACTATTAAAATTGGGTTCTGAAGCGTATGTACATATAAACTCAAGTAAATTTATTTTGTGTATTTATATGAGCGTGGGCATATGATACAGAGGAACTTTACAAACTAATCATTCTTAGACGAAATGATGCAACCACAATGTGAAGTTTCAAAGCAAACAGAGTGGCAATTTTTGTTGGCTTCCCTAACTTGTCCCACTGCTGATCCAGGAAGAACACACTGCACTCTCCTACAGAATATTTTTCTAGAACAGACACAGTGTTGTCCTGGAATTAATTTTTAACCAGATTATATATGACAATGTCAAAAGGTAAGGTGGAATTAGAAACTCCATGCAATACCATAGAGAAAGGTTTTAAAATTTTTTTAAAAATTAAAATTCATAGCTTTAATATCAACTCTTACAGAGACTGAATCAATATACTAATATTCATTTGCATTCATACTTTATATATATGTCAATTAGGCAATTTTATAGCATTTTTAATAGATTTGACAACTACTTTTTTCTGAGACTGTTTTCTATCAATGGAGCAAATTTCTATTACAGTATTGCTGTAAGAATAAAAAATAACCCTCAAAATATCTGACATATAGTAGCTGATCAAAAAAAGTCAGTTCTACTTTCTGGTTTGTTCTATATGTACCTTACAATGATACAAATGAAAATCTAATTCAATAGCTTAGTCAAATTACTGTGTTCAGTAGTTAAAGACTAAATATGTCCTAGGCATGTTCTAAATAGAATGTTCTGAACAAAAATATGAAAACTGCCTTACTAAATATCATGACTTAATATAAATCCAGGGTAATCAAAATAGTACAGTATTGTATTGACATAGGAACTGACAAATGGATAAAAGCTCAGAGAATATGAAGAGAAATCTTACTACAAATCAGTAGAGAAGGAATGAGATGGGCAAAAAATGGCCGTCCACATGGAAGAAAAATAAAATTATGGTCCCAATTCATTTCATCATCGAAACAAAACAACAAAAAAACCCAGGCTGTTAAGAGGCCAAACTTACAAGGAGAAATTTTAAAAATGTTTAAAAACAAAACAAGGGGCTGGGGATTTAGCTCAGCGGCAAAAGCGCCTGTCTGGCAAGTGCAAGGTCGTGAGTTTGGTTCCCGGTACTGGAGAAAAACCAAAAAAAAAAAACCAAAAAAACAAAACAAAACAAAACAAAATCTTAGAACAGAAGAATACTTCATAAGTAGGCAAAGAATAAAAGATTAATATCTGAGGAAATATATAAATCCCTGCAGCTGATAAAAGCACAAAAATAAAAGACTAATAAATAATAGGAAGAAACTGCAATATGGTCATATGAATAAGAAAAGATAATAGGAAAGAAAAATGAGAAACGGAACAATGAACAGAAAAAGATACATACTGTAAATAACCAATATACACATGAAAAGATGCTTAATTACACTGATCATCAGGGAAAATGTAAATTTAAAAAAAAACCATTTTAGACAGACAAAATCTTTTGAGGCCTTACATTAAGTAGTAAGCACACAGTAGAGTAGAAACTAATCACTGCTATTGAAATACTGTAACATTCACTTTAGAGACTGTGGCTATTATCTAGCACAACCAAATATATGTATTTTGTTTATGATCCAATAATTCCTTTTCTCACACATGTTCACTGTATATTCACAGCCCCAAAATTTGTGATAGCATCTCAACAATCTGGATTAATACAGTGTGGTAGTCATGCAACAGAATAATATATTGGTGTTAAAAGCAATATATGTATTTGGACTGTCTCACTATCTCAAAACACAGTAAAATGATTCTGCAACATATTATTTATGTGATATTTCATAACCAAAACAAAACTATTATACAGACCAATGAATAATACATGTAAGGATATTAAAAATGTACTAAAAATTCAGACACAAATTCACAGCAGCTGTTATCTTCAATATTGACTTTTTACTGTAAATAATTTGTTTTCTAAAAAGTAACAAAATACAGTATTAACAACTATCAATTCTGAGTGAGAATTAAGTAGGTATTTATTATATAAAACTAACAAAGGTTACCAATAAAATCATCACTCTGTTTTCTTTTTAGCTATTTCAATACTTATATTAAATAAATTCAACATGGTATGCATATAAGGTAAGCAAATGAAACAAATTCCAGGTCATGTAAAGAAGCTGATGAAGCTTATGAGTAAAATGTACCTCAGAAATGAGGTAGAAAATTTTAATCTTCTGTATAATTGCTAAAGTGAATTCTGCCCCTTAAATTGTATATTTCTAATTTCATAGCTAAACTATTATGAAATCTTTCATTTTAGTACTGAAAAGGTAAGTTTGAAAGTACAAGTCCTAAAATAAACCAACTAACCTGTGTGGGTCCTTCTATGTCTTTGAAGCTCATCACTCCTTGTAAATCTCTTGCCACAAAACATCCAGTTGCATATAAAAGGTCTTTCTCCAGTATGCCAGCGGAGATGTGCTCGTAGGTGAGATGTTTTGCCATAAACCTTTCCACATCCTTCAATGTGACAGATATGCTGTTTCTTTTTTCCTGGTTCATTACTGCCTCTAATAAACACCAAAACCAAAACCAAATTGTTAATTACACTCCCCAAGTTAAGCTTATATTTATGAGAAAAAAGGGAAATGAAGGTAATTACATGTGCTTTTCTGAATAATTTGCTACACTGTAGTTACAGTAAAAAAATTTCATTTGAAGAAAACATAAAACAGGTCTCTCTGTGTTAAAAAAAAATGCTATGAAAATGTATTTGTTTCATTGTTTATGTCTATAAGGCAATTCAAGTTCTTTCCCTAGTAGGCTCTTCTGTTGGCTTAAAAGAAGAGGAAAAAAAAAAACCTCTAAGCTTTTCAGGACACCTTAACCTGTTTGTGTGAAATTCTAAAGGATGGCTAACTCCAGTTAAAAGTGTAAGGTGCAGAGTTTCATTTCTACCAAGACAATATGAAGAGATGCACGGACTGAGTTTCCCACAAAGCTGGTGAAAATTATAAAACAAACACAAGTAGATACGGAAACACATTTATTAAAGAAAATCTAAGAGAACTGGGGAAGAACAGTAAGAGTCTGTGGTGTCTGTACCAAGACTCACTTCTTCCCCTCACCACTATGCCACAGGAACGTAACAGAGGGCACAGAAAACAGGGTTTCCTCTCCTCCCTCCACCCAGCTAGTGGGCTATCTCCCCAGGAGGACTGGACATCGCATTTATCATGCTAATCCCAGCTACGTGTTCCAGGTGAATGTGGCTGAAAGGCAGGGACTCCCTTCCTCCACCTAACCCTCACAGCTGGGACACATGCTCTGTTGTGGTCATGGTACGATGAAATGTTATGGTCTAGACTGCCCTTGACTCGTGCCATTCACAATTCATAAACTGGAGTTTCTAAGCTGGGAGAAATAAACTAAGAAGACCTGAGCTTATTGATGGTCCTATCATCAAGCATACAGCTCCTAAAACAGGGTCACCCAGAGAGAAATGTGCCATGGCTTCAACCTCTGGCTCGAGAGTATTACCGCCATCTAAACTAGATAAAAGCATTACAAGAAAAGAAAAGAAAAGCATAGGCTAATTTATCCCTTGAGTACAGATGCAAAAATTCTCAATGAACTACCGGCAAACTGAATCTGGCAATATATAAAATGAGTTATACATCATAACCAAAAGATTTATCCCAGGAATGCAAAAGTGAAACACATGGCAACATATTAATGTAACATATTATACTGATACAACAAAAAATAAAAATCGTAAAATCATCACAACACAATCAAACATCCTTCATGATATACACAGCAAAACAGAAAGTGAAGTGAATTTTCTCAACTTGATTAAGGGCCCCAGAACTAACACTGTACTTGATGGTGAGGAACTAGATACTTTTCCCAAGGAAAAATAAAGGATGTGTATTTTTTGTCACTTGCCATTTCTATTGAATATTGTATGGGAGGTTCTACATATGGCAATTAAGCAAGAAGAGATACCACTCCAAACCCACTACTACAGGTACAATCAAAAGGTCAGATGTTACCTACTGGCAGTAACATGAAGAAATCAGAACCTTCAGATACTAGTGGCAGGAATATAAAAGGGTGCAGCCACTTATACCTCTGCACAAATATTTACAATAGCATTATTCGTAATAATCAACTGCGGAAAAAATCAAATGTCCATTAAGTTATGAGATAACATGTTTTACGTCTGTAGAATGGAATATTATGCATCCATAAAAAGAAATTAAGTATTCATCATGCTATATGACTGAATCTTGACAGTATAATGCCAAATGAAAGAAATCAATCACTAAAGACCAAGTAGGGCATGACTCCATTTGTATGAAATGTCCAAAATAGGCAAATGTACAAAGACAGAAATCATTTTAGTGGCTGCCTATGGCTGAGAGGGTTGGGGAACTGGTAAAAACTGATGGCTAAAGGATACAAGATTTCTTCTGAGGAGGACAAAAACGTTCTAAATTTAACTGTGGTGATGACTGTACAACTCTGTGAATATATTAAGAACCATAGAATTGTATACTCTAAATGGATTAGTGATATGTAGGAGCTAGTTTTATATCAATAAGGATGTTCACATTTTTTACATAGTAAATGACAGAAGAATTCATTAAAAACATACATGAGGTCCAACAGCAGAAGATCTCTCAAATCTCACTCCTCATATAGCTGAACTTAATTCCTTTTCTATTTTAATTTCTGGGCTCCAAAGGTCCCAGTTATCAATCACCTCATTTTAACTATTTTATGCCTTCCAGAGAGCAGGAGCTGAAAACAGATCATTTACCTTCCTTCTCCTTCCCTACAATTAGGACAGGAACAGGCAACTCTTCGAAGCCTCTTGCCAGGTTGTACCTCTTGATCAGAAGTCTGCTGGCCTTGCTGCAAATGCACTTGTGTGAGTTGGTCAGGACTAACAGCACCTATTGTCGCATTAGCAATTCCTCCAACTGCCACTGTTACAGGAGCTATAGTAGCTTGCTGGACTTTCACTCCATCTTGCCCTTGCTGCTGACCTAAAATGTAAGAAAAACAGGAAGGAATGTTACATTTTCTGTTCCCCAAAAGAATAAAAAAAATTCCATGTGAACAGTTTAAAGCTATTGTGTTTGTTCTAATAATCTGTGTAACGTAAAACAGCAGAAGGATTAATTTAATGACTTGTGTTATACCAAACTTCCTAAAATAATTCTTACTTTATTAGCTCAGTTGTCTCTTTTTTTTTTAGTGGTACTAAGGGTTAAACCCAGAGTCTTATACATGCCACGCAAGCACTCTAATGCTGAGCTACTTCCCCAGTCTTTTTTGAAAAATTATACTTTGAGACAGAGTCTTGCTAAGTAGTCCAGGCTAGCCTCAAACTCACAACCCTACTGCCTAAGTCTCCAAGGTAGCTAGGATTACAATAGTGAGCCACCACAGCCAGCTGGTGGCCTTTTTGTCTAAGTGATGGGACCGTACATAAATCACTTGACCCTCCCTGTAACTTAACTTTTCTCTCCATCTGGAAAATGAACTTAAAAGTACTTGTCACCTCATACTTCACTACAGTACTGCGAGGATTCATGAGACACTGAAAAGCACTCAGAGATCCTCAGATGGAAAATGCTACATAAACACAAAGTACTATAACCATTTCCACAGTAAGCAACATAACTCATTCATGCCAAGAATATTTCAGGAGTGAAAAGTAACTAAACAAAGGATTAAGTTTTATGGATGTTTCTCATTTCTAAATTGTTTAAATTAAACAAACATCTACTTATTGGTGAGTCATTTTTTTAAAATGTGCACAATGTTGTGTTTTCTTAAAATGCAAAACCATCAATGAATGTTATATACTGTCACTATAATAAAAAGACATTCATGGTATTAATTTATTCACTCATGATTTATAGCTAAGACTTCATCTCTCAGGTTCAGCTTCACTTAGAGAAAAACGTGATAAAAGCATAATATAACCAAAAAGTATCTATTCAAATGTCTTAACTTATCTTGAACTACAACTGGTAAGGCTAACAATACTTACAATATTTTTTCCACACAATTCTATACTCTCATCAGGTGTAGGAATGTCAAGTATGTAAATGGATTAAAAAAAATTAATGTGTGAAGGAACGCTCCCACCTCAGAGAGTTGATGTAAGGATTAAATACTTATAAATCCCTAACCACAGTTCATGGCACAGAATTGTTTATTACACATTAGCTATTGTTACCACTAGTCTCCACTGAGTTGGGTGGCAATATAGGATAAAATATGCTAGCAGAAACAAACTTGTGGCTCCTGGGAGTAAAATAAAAGGGTCTATTTTAAAACTCTGGTTGTAGTACCTTAAGCATACAGAGCAACCAAGAAAAAAACAATAAAAATGACCAAGTCGGAAAATAGCACTCTTTTTTTAAAACAAAAGTAACCTGAGTCTCCTAGCCAAAGTTACTCAATTTCTTCTGTTTCCATAATACTCTCAACTCTTTGGGAGCACCCACTACTAAAATACAAACACAGTCACCCTTCAGTATCCCAAGGGACTGGGGTTCCAGGACCCCTGCCCTCCAATACCAACATCTACAGATGTTCAAGTCCCTTACACAAAATGCAGTATTTACATATAACCTAAGCAAATTCCCCCATATACTTTAAATCATCTCTGGACTTCTTACAATGCTTAACACAATGTAAATGCTATATAAGTAGTTGTATACTGTAGTGTTTAGGGAATAATGACAAGAAAAAAGGTTTTGTATTTTGTATAGTTGCATTTCTTTCCCTGAATATTTTCATTGCCATTAGTTAAATCTTAGGACAGTGGTGGTAAACCTATGGCATGTGTGCCTCTGCTGGATATTTGTTATCACTGAAAACTCTAAAAGGTTCACCCATCACTGTCCTAGCATGTGGAACCTGAAGATACGGAGGGTCAATTGTAAGAAATAGTGAGAAGAGGGGAAAAACACATACATTTTTTTTTTTTTTTTACTATTTTAGTAAGAATACATATTTTAGTTCCTCTTCTGAACTTCAGAATTTAATTCACATTTCAGTCAGCATATAATGTGGAGTCAACACGAAGTCAGAAGTTGTGAATGCATGACTCTGCACTGGAGATCCTTAAGTTTCCTTGCCGCTAAAGTAACACTGACCTTCCTGAAATTCCTGTCATGTTACCTATTTTAAAGCGTTGTTTCTGAAGATCAAATTGATTTTCCATGGGTAAAGCCATAATCAACTATAAAGCAATATATAAACTATCATTATTATGCTTCTATGTGACTTTGAACACATAAAAATTTTAAATATTCTGTAAAAGATCCCTTAAAGATGATCAGGCTGAGCAACCATTACTTGTGCACCTACAAGTGCAGTTCTATGACACATACACTCCCTATTTACTGCACACAAAACAAAACACATTTTTTAAAATGGGGAAGTCCATGTGAATGAGGACTACATTCTTTATAGCATGGCATATTATACCTGTGGTGTTGCAGGTATTTAAAGTTGGTAAGTATTCTTTATATTTCCTGAAGTCATAAGATATTTTTGGACATAATTTTTCCTACTATTGTTCACACAACAGCTGGTCATTCCTTTTAGGTTGTAGTGATGTTTAAGATAATCTTCATTATTCTGAAGAACTGCAAAGGACTCTGGGTTCTTCAGATTGCTTATCAGTTCTATGACAAACTCCTCACGCCTCTATATTATGAGCACTTACTTGTTCAACATATTATAAGCACTTACTTGTTCACTAACAACTTAGCAAGTGATTTCAATAAATAATAGCAGGCAAATTGTATTTGAGTATACATACATAAGTCTGATCATGCTTAGCTCTTCATCCAGATGTGTCACAGATAGCTAAGGTTCAACATATTACTTTTTCTTCATTTCCACTGGTACCAATATACCACCAAATCCATACCAAGACCTGCAAAGCTCTACTAATTCTATTCAGGTCGTGGATCTCATCTTGTATTAGTATCTCCTTTGCTCACTCCACTCCTGATACTCTTCTAGCCCTGAATAAAGTTATTTCCTTGTTAAGGCCTTAGTACATACTCTCCAGTCTGGGTGGCGATGTCTTTGCACCCAGATCTCTGCATAGTTGGCTCTTTGGTAATATTCTGAGCTCTGTTCAAATCTTCTCTTTTCAGAAATGACGTTCCTGATCATACCATCGAAACGTGGTTCCCCTCAGTGCATCTCTGTATCATCATCTAGCTTTGTCTTAAATTACCTTGTCCTTTTACTGTATTTTTTTCCTGTCGTCAGCCCATTCTGAACGTTAAATTCCATGAAAATAGGAACTTTTGTGTGTTACGTTCACTGCTGTATCAATAGCATCTAGAACAAACACATAGTTCCAGACAGAATGTGCTTAACACACAGCCATTCAGTAAGACAAGTTTAATAAATCATAAACATTTTAAATATTTTAGAAAAATCATTCGTCTTTCAGTCTAGCTTCTAAATACCCACACTTTGGTAAACACTACTCCTACTCTCCTTATTACTCATACTCAAAACCTTAAAATGCCACCTTCCAGGGTACCTCCTTTACACACTGTATCAAGCAACTGGTGAATTATAAAGGTGCTACAGCAGAAGAAATCTGGCGTTTATCTTACCATCTATTACCAAGGTCATTACTGATTCAGGCCCTTGTTACTCTGTGCACTTACTAGCCCAAATGAACCATTCTAGAGGAAAAACAACAAAAACAAAAGACTGTTGCCAGAAAAATAAAGAAAAGTGCTATTCTGATCATAGCACATTCATTCTCGATAACAAAGTGCTCCACCTACAGGAAGCAGTTTCTGGTTCACAAAACTTGCTCCTAATGGCCAAATCCAATGTGCGTTTTCCCAATCAACATTACAGCACTGCTCCGCTGCATTTGTACCATTGATTATTCCATCCTTCCTGAAACTAGACTCTCTGGGTTAACGTCCTGCCTTTTCCGAAATGCCTTCTCTGTTAGCTCTTCTTCCCCACTTCTTTTTCTTCTTTTTAAGTCAGCATTCAGATCTAAATTTATACCACATTCTTAAAAGATTTATCCACGCTGGTTTCCTTATTCCTTATCCTTCATTCTCTTTTCAAACTACTGAAATTAGGTGTTCATCTCACCGCTCTGTTAAAAATCATGAAAAACTACTAACTTCTTTTTTGGTAAACCCAAAGATACCTTCAACTTGCTCCAGCTCCTGAGAGCTGCTAATCCCATTCTCCTCCAGAAATGCTCTTCTTTGTGTTTCATTAATAACTGCTCACACCTGCGTTCTCCCGTATTCTCTGACCACCCCTGGCTTCAACATCTTTGGCATGCTTCTCCCCTCTAAAATTCCTATGCTATTTTCCAGGCTATTTTCTTCTCTTCCCATTTAAATTATCTGAGCCATCCACTCATTTAAACCACATACTTTCATAATGTTTATTGTTATGCTTAAATTAATGTCTCCCAAATCTGTACCTGCTCTGCTCAAATACCTCTTAGAAGTATCACAGTGTCATCTACAAGGGAAGATTTCTACTGCAGTTTCTCAGAGGCAATCCATCTATGAGTAAGACAGATTACTCATCTTCATCTAGCTCTTTCTCACTGCTCAAATAATTTATCAAGTTTATCCTTCTTTATAGCAGGGTAGTATCCATTGTGTATAAACACCGCATTTTCTTTAACCACCCATTTGTTGCTAGATATATAGGCCATTTCCAAGATTTACCTATTACGAATTGTGCTGCTATAAATATAGGTATGCATGTATCACTGTGATATGATGTCTTTAAACCTTTAAATAAAGATACCTACAAGGGGCACAGCTGGGTTGAATGGAATTTTTAATTTTAGTTTTTTAAGGAACCGCCACACTGATTTCTGTAATGGTTGTACTAATTTACATGCCCACCAACAATGCTGAAGAGTTCCTTTTTCCCTACCACCACTTATTATTATTTGACTTCTTGACAACAGCCATTCTTTCTAGAGTAAGATGGTGTTAAGGCTTTTATT